AATAGTCTTGAAAAAAGCTGTAGTAATCACAACCGAGAGTGTACGTATAAATGACGTCCAAATCTAACTTCATAAGAGGAAGTTGTGATTTTTAAAAGTTTCAGCATAGAAGTGTACGACACAGAAACTGAAATAAAGATCGGTCGATTCTTAGGAAAAACAATCTAAACGAGAGTTGAAGATCTCGTCCATATGATTATGTCGATATAAATATAGTCGAGAACAGAATTCATATGAGAGAGTTATGATTTTTAAATGGGCTTTAATAGTTTAAGCCGTTTAAAAATATAACTTTAAAAATAAAGTGAGAACTAGTTGACGGTGTCTAAATTAAAGTTTTAGATCTTGACGATAGTTATACGTGGATATAAAGAACGTCGAAAATGGAGCATGTATGAAGAAGATACGGAATTTACAAAATCCACGTGTTGCATAGCGCGCACGAAGTGCACGGCGCGCAGCTTCTAGAAGGTGCAACATGGACAACAAGGGTTTTGACACATGGCAAGCAGCAAATGGATCGATGTTACCCTAGTGCATGACGTAAACCTATAGTGCATGGCGTGCATCCTTACTATAAATAGAGTTCTCCGGCTCCATTTGTTTCTCACTCGGGAGAGGTGTCTAGAATGGTCACATTGGCTTGGTTGTTAGATTTTAGAAAGGTTGTACGCTGAAATTATCTTGTTTCCCAACTGTATAGCCTGGCTGATCCTTATTTGATAGAACTCTTGGTATTCATTGGGATTAGTGAAAGATCTAGCTTTCATTACCAAATAGTCATAGAGATTAATAGGTTAAAGTATTATACTTTAATACTTGTTTGATGTGTTATCCACCAGTTGAGTCACTAGTAGAATCACCCTGATAGTTTTCAATATTCTGATTAATTGTCCATGTGAATTATCCCACTATACCATGTAGTACAATATAAATCCATGTATGTTAGGATAGGATATAGTTTAGTAGAGTTAGTAGTAAAATCTTTACGTGCTTAACTATGAACTGGTAGAATAGAAAGTATAAATGTGAATGAATTAGTAGAATCTAAAGTGCATTCGCTATGTGTGTAATTGTTGTAATTAAGGACTTAGTTGGGGGATGATGGTGGAACGGTTAAAGAGGCCAAGAGCCTACTGGCCCGTGAAGGTTTGTATCGATCGGATACACTTCAAGTATAAAGATAAAAGAGAAACTTAATCAATGAAAATAAAGAACAAAAATAGAATTTTGTCTTCACCAAGAAGATGGTTTGTCACAAAGACGATTATGACACAAAACCATATTGTACAACATTAGGGTTTTCCCTAATGTTTATACATATCAATCCCATGATTAAATGGATTATATATAATCTATACTAAGAACTGGTCTTATCATAAAGATATCGGATTTGTGATCTATTCTATACTTATCTATAACATTACCTCATATACAAAAGATTACATAGAATAACTACGCTATACGTTGACGATAATAAGTTTGGTACGTTGGCATTGTCGATGTAGTTGATGTTGACGCTCTCAGATAGTGTGGAGTGTTTGACTCATTAGATCATAAGGTGTGACCTTACAATCTCCCCCTACCTGATAATGTAAAAACTAATCTTCTTCTTTAGAGTCATCAAAAGAGCCATTGTAGAAATTGTCAGCTTTTTTTAAGATTTTAGGCTTGACCCATCTGAATTCATCAAGCTTAAGTTCATCCAGTCTTCTACTAAGATCCAGTTATATCAGCCCATGATATCCTTTTTCCAGTTCATAGTGACCAATTCCTTCGAAGTAAAGATGAAACAAATGTTTAGTGGGAGCAGAAGGAAGGTCATCGGTGCATTGGAAGCACATATGATTTTAAATCTCAAGATAAAATATCGCATGCTCTGGTTCTGGAATGAACATATATTGGAGTGGTTCAGCACCTGCTGGTAATTCATTGTTGATATATCGAGTTCTATATGGAAGAAGAAACTTGGTATGTTTATATTTTCTGGGAGCGCCTGTTGTAACACCATAAATTTTCAAACAAAATTTTCATTTTTAAAACACGTAAAAACTCATAATATATTTCTCAAAACATAATTGTTTCAAGGATAAACATAAATCCACAATAATACTATCATTATCCCAGAATCATCCACATACTCTCATATCGGTGTGTACAATCAAGCTGGTGCCTTTCCATGATCCTGAGAAGTACCTGAAACACATAATACATAACACGGTAAGCACGAAGCTTCGTGAGTTCCCAAAAAATATCAAACATATCTCATTAGCCTCTCATGGCTATGCTCAAATAAGACCCTTCAGTCAATGTGTCTTAGTGGGACCCTCCAATCCCACAACTCGGGTGGACCCTCCGGTCCTAACTCAAGAAGCTCAGAATAATACACAACATAAATCACAAAGACATAATGCAGGATATCACAATACTCAATATAAGCACATAAGACCCTCTATTCACACAAAGTTACCTTTCATGGTAAGTATAGTGAGAAGACTCACCTCGTAAGCAAGTAAATAATCTCGAACTAGCCTCCATCTAATCACATAAGATAATTATCTCTAATTAAAATTTAAGCTACGACTCTAAATACACTAAGTTATTCTCTCTCTCAAACTCTAGGAATGGGTAAAATACCATTTTACCCCTCCATGGTCCTCATAATCCCTGCCCTGACCAAACCCTAAAGTCAACAGAAGTCAACACTCGAGTCAACTGTCCATGTTGACCTGACTCTCCGAGTGCATTTATGTGACTCGCCAAGTCCCCCTTATTCCTTCAGAACATCGCAAAAACCCAACTTAACTCGTCGAGTTGTTTCATCAAATCAATGAGTTACCCATGTCCAAACTCATCGGGGAAAACCCTAGCCGACTCGTCGAGTCAGCTCATTGACTCGGCGAGTCCATTCAGTCTGTATTCTTATTCAGGCATTTTAAGTCAGATCCACCACTCCAAACTCTAGATCTAGTCTCCTAAGGCTCGAATGTCACATAAAGCTTCGATCGTTACGTTCATGCATGGCGTATTTTCTCCATAATGCCAATTCAAGCTCCAACAAGGGTTAGATGCACAAGACCTTATCTCTAGCTCAATAAAGTTCGGGTCTTAGGACTCACAAAACCTCCTACAATCCAGATTTGTGGTTTCAACCTCAAATTATGCTCAAATGACTCAAATGACACAAAAAGGATGTGAGAAAACCCTAGAAACTCCCTAAACCAATATCTCATAAAGAAATAATCAAGTTAGCATCTTTTTACCTCCAACTGAAGCAAAACCCTAATGAACCTCTAGATCCAAAGCCTCATCTTGATTCAAGCTTTAATGATCTCCTATTCTCCTTTAAAAGTGCACTAATAATCACAAGATTAGCTTCTCTCTCACTCTCTAGCTCAAGTGGGCGATTAGGGTTTCTCTCAAGGATGTAAAGTGGCTGGTGAGACGGAAATGAGGGCTTAAGTCCCCTTAAATAGGTCATAAACCCAGGGATTTAAGGTTTCCTCACACAGCGCCAACTCGGCGAGTCGGCTCTCTGACTCGTCGAGTAGGTAATTAAACCCACGTGACCAATCCAACACTACTTGCCGAGTCGGACACACAACTTGTCGAGTCACTCATTAAATCCCAAAATTAAATAAATAAATAAATGTAATATCTGGGAGTTGGGATGTTACACCTGTTCTGCCTAAGGAGGATGGTCTTGATTTACCAGTTGATGACGGACCAATTGATGGCACAAGGTTCAGCTTCTTGACTTTGTTGAGTCACTTCTGTATTGCCAACTTCACTTCCTAAGCATGAACACCCTTGTGTTTGTCGACAATTTCTTGAATTTTCATTCACTCACTGTAGCCAAATTTGACTAATTCAAGAGCAAAAACAACTTCAATGGATTCATATTTTGTTTCCTTTCTAACCGAATGAAGCTTTGGGGACTCGTTTCTTAGTTTGGTGCAACTCAGTTTGACAATGGGATCGGGCTTTGACCTGTGAGTAAGAACATCTCCAAACTTCTTCCTATCAATCTAGTCCTTCGGGTCTGAAACAATGTTTTGTTTCTCCACATATTATTGAAGATTTTCTTGACTTGATTATCAGTTCTTTGAACATTAGCACTCTCATCAGCAGAAGCAAGAGCTTGAGCAAGTTTGGTAGACAGATGTTCTTGTTTTCTTGCTTGTTTCTTTTGTTGGATGGCAGCATAATATTCAAACATAATTTCTATTACTTCCTCAATGGGTAACCTCCATGTTTCCGCCAGTTCATTTAGATCAAAAATGAGTTTGCTTTTCTTTTTAGGATGAAATGTTGAAGGATCACCAACAGTAGCAGTAGAAGAATAGCTTCCAGCTTCAGCATCATGAGCTCTCCCTAAGAAGGAAGACTTTCTCTTCTGAGGATTGAGCTAATAATTTTTAGAGTCAATGTCACTATCAGTTCCTTGAGGAACCTATTGAGAATTCTCCCCTTCAATGTGAGATCTAGGGTAAACAACATTTAAAGGAACAGCAGAGACAACAACTTGTGGCATGAAACCAATATCAAGAAATCCCTCTAAGTTATCGGTCTCTTATTGGTAATCAGAGTCTAGAATGGGCTAATCAGTTGCTGCATCAGCATCTAAAATATCAGTAACATCAATCTGCTTTTGAGGATCAGCTTCAGCTTTAACCCTTCTAGTCATCTCAGGATGAAATAGAATTTGTACAATCATAACCTATATGTGCATTGGCTGAGGATCCCCTTGATTATTCTCTCCCTTTTTGGCAGCATCAGATTAAGGAGGTGAGTTAGGAGGTGGTGGAGGAGTTCTAGGAGGAGGATTACATGTTGGAGAATGTAGTAGAGGAAAATTTGTTGATGGAGGTGGAGGTAGAGGAGATTTATTCCCAGTAGAATTTGGTGGAGTGTCATCAACAACCATATCATCATCATCATCATCCAAGACCATAAATCTCTTTATTATAGCCACATCCCTTACAACTTTAGTCAACATTTTATTCATAAGTTAATGGCACAATTAAGGAAAGTTGAGAAAGCACAACAGTTTCAAAGTTAGAGTTGGATTCTCCCTGATTATCTTGATGAAGGGGAGCAGTCATGATAGGAACACTCTCAGCTTGAGGAGGAGGAGACGTTGGCTTTGGAGAATTGACATCTTGAATCAGTGGATTAGTAGTTTCAGTAGTAGGAGGGGTTAACCTACGTTATGCAACATCATCAGCAGAGGAAGAAGATGAAGAGGTAATTGAAAAACGAATGTGCTTGTTCATCCATGGAGGAGAGTTCATTTTCTGAGTGAAGTCTTCTCCAATAGCAGTTGTTGATTCTTATTCATCTTTATCAGTATCTTTTTCTTCATCATCCCCTTCTTTATTACCACCTTCTAGATCACTATCATTCTCATCATTATCATCCTCATTATTCTCATCTTCATTACAGCATCATCATTATCATCACCATCATCTTTAGAGTCTAAGGATTCAACCACATAGGGTTTTTCAATCCAGTTTTGCATCATTGCAGTAATAGGCAAGTCACCCTGAGATGGAGCAACATAAATAATTTTTTAGGAAAGGGCAGGAATTGGAATGATAATCCCATGACTTTCAACATAGCCTTATTTTCGAGACAAGATCAGACCAAGCCAACAAGGATAAGGAACATTCAATGGCTTCTTGTTCCCATTAATGCAGTCAACCATTTGATCAAGAAAAAGTTGAGCAAAATCTAGTTTCTTATTGTAAAAAATAGAATATAAAACCCTTTGCTCAAAGAGATTCAATTGATCCAAACTTCCAGTCGTGTGACCAAAACATTTTCCAGTCACATTAATTAAGTACTTCCACCCTAGATTAAAACACTGACGAAGAGTGGTCTTGTATGTATCACGAGTGAGGCTCTGAAGATTGAAATTATACCGTATTTTTTCACGAACATATTTGCAACTTTCTTCAGAAGGAGTTTCAGAGTAACTTTCAAATCGGGGAAGACGAAGAGCATTTCAAAAGGATTACGCATCAATAGTACCCCTATATCGACCATCTCCAATGGTTCCAGTGATGGTTCCAGAAAAAGTATCAATAGAGCATGTATAGTAAAACTCACATACTTCTTTAGGGTAGAAAGGGTCTGGGAAGTTGCAAAATGCATATCGAAGAGGATCGATCTTTACATAGTCGACAAAATCTTTGTTTCCTAAGTTTACGAATTGCTTTGGGATTTCATCCGAGAACGCCACACTTTTCGATTGAATGATGATGGTAGATTCAAGAGCATGAGGACCTTTGCTGATGTTAGCGCTGGGAGCAAACTTGTATACGGGCATTGACATGGTGAAAGCTTTGAGTGAGATGACGATATGGAGTCTTTTTTAGAGAGACAGAGAGAGATCTTAATTGCTTGAATTGCTTGTAAAACTAACGTAGGATGAAGATTTCTCAATTTATACCCACAAAGTTTCTTCCTTTTAATGTAATCATGAGTGACGATATATGCATCGTAAAGATCTCATACCCCAAGATAATGAAGAATCTTTTTAGAAGACATCCAAAAAGTTACCGTTGAGACAAGGAAGTTATATCATTAAGACAAATCATCAACGCAAATAAGTATCAGCTTAAGTGATCAGCGAATGAATTTATGATGATCATATAGTTAGTTTGTGATGTCTCCTGATAGTGTGGGCTAAAAATACCATTCACTAACATAGTATTATGAGATCTCATCAGTGTGTAGTTTCATACGCTGAATCATAAATATCTTTTACTACAGTCGATCACAGCTCCAAACCGACTCAACCATTCCATGTCCACTATGACACAGACATCACCCATCGCGATCGGTATCACGTCTATTGGGAACTCAACACCAATAATCTCTAGTACACATCCTCGGATTACATCAGTATAAAAAAAATGCATGCTTGTTGGCTATAGGAACCCTCGGAGGTCGACTCAACGCCTCTCGTCGGATACTGATGTGACGACTAAAAGCTAAAGACATGAAGGATCGACTTGCACCCGAGTCAAATAACACCAAGGCAGGTACATAACTCACAAGAAAAGTACCTATACACAGCACAATATAAGCACAACATATATCAAAATAATATAAATAAAGAAATACGTACCGGCCACGTCGTCAGGTGCGCAGACCTCCTCCGTTGTCAGCTGGAAGTCTCTCCCATGAACCCTCGGTGTCTCGACCTTCGTTGGCCAACTCTCAGTAGCACGTAAAGCAGCAGGCGCAGAACCCTGTGTTGATCCCTGAAGAGCTGAGGGTACTCGGCCTTCCGATGGCCAGTCTGGTTGCGGTGGAAGCCAACTACAAACCCCTTGAGGCAATCCTTCGCCATGTGCCCTCTTTGCCATATTTGTTGCAAATCCCCACCCGACACGATCCTTCGTGACTCTTTCTGCACTTGCCACAAGTGCGGCCCTTTTGGCCCCTAGCTCTCATATCGGTGGGCTTATCCCGCTTCATCTCCGGCTGCAACTGCACTGGTCTTCGGTCTCTACCTCGAGACTCTTCCTCCTCCCTGGTTTGTTACTCTAGCTTAATCTCTCTCCTCATGGAATTGGTCTGAAGCTCAGCCAATGTCTGGTATGATGAGTTCGCCACAAACTCTCGTATATCCCTCCTCAGTATGCTCAGATATTGGCTCACATGTGCCTGCTCAGTGGACACGTGCTCAGGGCAGAACAACGCCCTCTCATGAAACATCCTCGTAATCTCAATCACTGACTATATCTTCTACTTGAGAGACAGAAACTCATGTGCCAACCGTTCCCTCTCCACCGGGGGAACATACTCGTCTCGGAACAACTATGTGAACCTCTCGCACGTCATTGCAGCATGGTCTGCAGGAGTAAAACTGGTAGTCACAAACTTCCACCAGTCCTTCACCCCCGAGCGAAGCTGGTTCGGTACAAACTGAACTCTTAAATGATCAGGGCATGAACACGTGTAAAAGAATCCCTTAATATCAGAGATGCATCTCATGGCAGCAATCAGATCTTGATCCCATCGAACTATGGTGGCTTCTTGTTGCTGAACTCTCGGAACAACAATGAGTCACCTCCTTGTGGCCTAGCAGCGGCGACAGCTGCGGTGGTTGCAACAGTAGCCGCCTCAGTAACAGCAGCATATCGCTTGTCAAATGTATCAATCAGTGTGGTCTTAATAGATCCAAACATCTTAGGTGTCGCCTCTCGAATGGCTATAGCCACCTCCTTGTGAATCATCCTGCGAATCTCATCATCACTAGTCCCACTGCTCTAGGGGTTGTGGCATGTACCCACCATGATGTCTTTGAAACACAACAAAAAAATCATCAGAGACTCACTCGAGCATACTCACACTCGATCACCCGTCCCTACTTGTTCCTTAGCATCCTAAGGATTCTTACTTGGGTTGCATACAGATTCGGTGTTTTCAGTAGTATGGGCCCAATACTACCTTCCACACCAATCTATAGTCACCTCAAGTCCTCCTCCTAGGATCCCAATTCACAAGTACTCTAACTCTCACGGATAACATACTACCCTCTTAGTAGACCTCTCATTTGCTCATCTAGGTATCTCTCCTAGATTATCTGTTAACTCAGAACTCTCTCTAAGTGATTCCTGCTAAATACTCCTACTCAGCATATACTCAAAGCAAATATCAAATAGCACCAACTCCAAGGCTAAGGCATCACAAATCAGGAAACTCTAGGCCTAAATATGAAATACCTAGCCTATACTTTAGCATGCATCCCTAACATTACACAAATATCTCATAACACAATTAAATAAGGGTATTTTGGGAAACCACCATTTGGGCTCTGGCTGATTGTACACACTGCTCCAACTCGTTTTTCTCTTTAAACTCTTTCTTGTTTTAAAAAAATCATGTCTTTTGAAAATTTTTCTCAAATCCTCAGTTTGAGTCCAGACACACCCGAAGATATATCTGAATCCCTCAAACCAAGGCTCTGATACCAACTTGAAACACCGTAAACTTTCAAACAAAATTTTCCATTTAAAATCACATTAATCTCGTTAGTTAAATCCCAAAAATATCAAGTTATCACAAAACACATATTCATAAATAGTTTAAAACACAATCCAGGATCCTCCACAACGTATCTCCAACTCGTGTGTGTACAATCAAGCCGGTGCCTTCCCGTGATCCTGGAAGGTAGGGTTGAGCATGGTGCGGTTCGGTGTTGTTTCTATATAACACCGCAACCGAGACCACAAATTGCGGTTTTTTAAAGCCAAAAACCGAACATTACGGTTTTGATTCGATTCGGTTTTGCGGTTCGGTGCGGTTTCGGTTTTTAACCACAAATGAGGTGGTGCGATTTTTCGGTTAAAACGGTGAGGTTTTTCATGTTCAAAACAAACAATTTAGTTGACTTTTATTTATTTCTAGATTTTCATTGCAAATAAATCACAATTTTGGTCCATTTTTATTCTTTCAAGTTGCATTTTATTAAGCGGAGCTGTACCGAAATTGAATTTTTTGGGCATACGAGAAAAGAGTCCAGCAGAGCATATTTCTTTTCATTCAAACAATTAACAATATGTCTAACACTTACTAACAACCATTTACACACCAAAAACTAAAGGAAAGGACGAATGAGTGAGAAACGAATTGATTCAATTTTTTTGAGTCCCGTTTCGTCAATGAAAGATGCACATTCCTTCGATTAGCTAATTTATTTTTAATAATTAAATATAATTATTATAAATATTTAAATAATATATTAAATTATGCGGTTTGCGGTTATTTCGGTTAATTTGGTGCGGTTACTAAACATAAAATCAAACCGCACCGCAATTTTTTGGTTTTTCAAAATTAAAAACCGCACCATTGGTTTTTGTTTTGGTTCCGATTATTTGGCTTTGGTTTATGCGGTAATTCCGTTTTTTTGGGTTTCGGGTCGTTTTCTGCTCACCCCTACTGAAAGGTACCTGAAACACATAACACGTAAGCGCGAAGCTTAGTAAGTTCCCCAAAATACCACACATATCTCATTAGCCTCTCATGGCTATACTCGAATAAGACCCGCTGGTCAATGTGTCTCAGTGGGACCCTCTAGTCCCACAACTCGGGTAGACCCTACGGTCCGAACTCAGTAAGCTCAGAATAATACACAACATAAATCACAAGAACATAATGCAGGATATCAAAATACTCAATATAAGCACATAAGACCCTTCGGTCACACAAAGATTACCACTCTAGGTAAGTATAGTGAGAAGACTCACCTCGTAAGCAAGCAAGTAACTAATCTCGTACACGAATCTCGAACTAGCCTCCGCCTAACACATAAGATAATTATCTCTAATTAACATTTAAATCACGACTCTAAATAAACTAAGTTATTCTCTCTCTCAAACTCTTGGAATGGGTAAAAGACCATTTTACCCCTCCATGGTACCCATAATCTCTACCTTGGCCAAACCCCAAAGTCAACAGAAGTCAAAACTCGAGTCAACAATCCATGTTGACCTGACTTGCCGAGTGCATCTATGTGACTCGCCGAGTCCCCATTGCTCCTTCAGAAACGTCGCGAAAACCCAAATTAACTCGTCGAGTTGTCTCATCAACTCATCGAGTTACCCATGTACAGACTCATCGGGGAAAACCCTAGTCGACTCGTTGACTCGGCGAGTCCATTCTGTCCATGTGCTCATTCAGACGTTTTAAGTCAGATCCATGACCCCAAACTCTAGACATGGCTCCCTAAGGCTCGAATGTCACGTAAAGTTGTGAACTTTACGTCCATGCATGACATATTAAGCTCATAATGCCAGTACAAGCTTTAACAATGGTTACATGCACAAAAGTCTTGCCTCTAGCTCAATAAAGTTCGGGTCTTTGGGCTCACTAGACCACCTACAATCCAAATTTGAGGTTTTAACCTCAAGACATGCTCAAGTGACTTAATACCACCAAAATGGATGGAAGAAAAATCCTGAAAACTCCTTAACCCAAAATCTCATAAGGAAATGTTCAAGTTAGCATCTTTTTACCTCCAACTAAAGCAAACTCCTGCAAAACCTCTAGATCCAAAAGCCTCCTCTTGATCCAAGCTTGAATCTCTCTTCTTCTCTTCCAAAGTATCACGAAAACACTCAAGTCTTAGCCCTCTTTCTCTCTTAGCTCACTATGGCTGATTAGGGTTTCACATAAGGGGGTTGGGTGGCTGGTGAGGCGGAAATAAGGGATTAAGGCCCTTTAAATAGGACTCGACCCCGAAGAATTAGGGTTTCCACACACAACGCCAACTCACCAAGTGGGTCTCTTCGACTCGCCGAGTTGGTTATAAAACCC